CCCCAAAACCCCAAAACCCCAAAACCCCTTCAATCAATATTTTGTGAAATTTAGGCATACTATATAACTATCAACATTTATTAAAAATAAATTCAAGCAAAATAGAGTTATGCATTAAATTAAATAAAATTTTTTCAAAAAATGAAGTATATATCTGATCAAACTGAAAATTTCAATTGTTTCATTCATAAACTTTATTATGAAGGAAAAAGCCCACGATTTTCAAGAATATTGAAATCTAAAAATCAGATAATGGTTGGGCATGAATTTAGAATATTAGATAACAACTTAAAACTTATTTATAAATAAGATCAAAGAGCCATAATCCTACACTAACAAAATAAATAGATTTTAATTGGAAATTAAAATGGAATATCGATAGTCAGTAATTTAAATTAAACTCGACCCTTGATTCGATGAAATGTATATTAGAAACATTAATTTGTCAATCTAGTAGCATAATTAAATAATGAAGTATTCATCATTGTTAAAAAAGTTGGATATTTTCAATTATTTAGTCTTAATAATCTAGACTTTTCACAAGAACTAAAGGTTGAAGGATTCAGTCTTTTTTCAGCAATTTGCTAGATTTAAAAAAAATAAAAAATAAATACATTTGCTATTGGGGATTTTAGTAATGGAATAGGAAATGGAATAGGAATAGTTAATATTATTAAAATAAATCAATATGAATACAGCCTAACTCAAGATCATTAAAAACTAATTAATAAAGGAATTGTTCTTCAACTTGTTCTAATAAGCAAATAGATTATAGGGTCATTGGTAAAAGTTGATGATGGAAAAGAACTTACTTTGATAATCGACATTCATAAGAAATATGTAATTCAATAATTTTCAAATCAATATAAACTATACATGTATCCTATCAAATAGTATAATGATAAAAGCTACCCGTTGGTATTTGGAAAGGATTGAAATCAAATATCAGTAATTAATTTAAAAACTAATGAGATAACAAAAGTAATTTCTTCCTATTATGAAGTTTAGAAGAATAACTAGACTTTCATCAGCAATAAAATATAAAAATACAGCAGAAACTCTTATTCTAACTTGTACTAAATACTGGATATTTAAAACTATTTTCACTCTAGATTGAATTAATTTCGTAGTGAAATTAGACTTATCTTGATAGATATGCCTTGAGAATAACATTTAAACTAATTATTTCTAATGATATTAAATTAAATCATTGCTTAATTTCATAAATGATGATATTTGGGGTTTTGGGGTTTTGGGGTTTTGGGG